GGGACGCACGCGAGCAGACACATTATTGCCCGCCCTCGAATTGTACGAGGCCAATGCGACCATTACCCTCAGCAGTGATTGGGATGCCGACACGCTGTCGCCGTTGGAAAAGATCCAAACAGTGTTGACTCGACCCGACGGCAGATCGTTTCCTGACGTAGCGACTGTCATCCCAATGCTTACAATCAACCCGGCATATCTACTCCAGCACGATGACACTACGGGTTCGATCGAGGTTGGAAAATTTGCCGATCTGGCGGTGATTGACCAGGACATTTTCAACATGCCGGTCGACGAAATATCCACAGCAAATGTTACGAGGACATATCTGCAAGGAGATCTCATATTTGGTCCTGGTGCGGATGTATCGAGAGTGGATGGGTCCATTGAAATCAGTGAAACTGATCCGACTGGAGCTGGATCCGAGGAAAACGGAGCGACTGACCCCAAGGATGTTGAAATCGACACTGGCGGCAATGTTGCCGTTAGTGTGGAAGGGCAATCATCAAGTCCAGCTGTCTTCTCGAGTCTGCTGGCGGCTTGCTTGTGCTTCTCTGTTTCATTACTCAGTTTTCTGTAGTGGTTGGGTGTCTTTAAAAAAATTAGGTTGACGGGTTTTTAGTTTACAATTTTTGTCAGCAACGTCTAGCTAGTCCCCATGTTGACAATTGTTAATGTGTGCCGTGCCGGGTGCCTGAAAGTGCATAGGATGACAATTTCGGACTACTTTGGATAAATGGTCTCGATATCTTTTCAAAGAGGTAAGTCTCGATTGCCTGGTGTTGCAACTCTCTGGCTACCGGCACCCAAATCAACACTCGGCCACCTCACAAGCTTTGTCGAGGTGAAAGGTGGGAGATCAGATAGATCGCCAAGGCGGGTAGTCAGCTTTTTGGCATGGCATGGGGTATCAGACCAAAAATTGCTTCCGAGTGGGCAGATGTCGGTAAGGAACAAGATGGCAAGCACTCAGTGTAACAAAATCAGATATTAGTAGATATTATAACAGTTTACCTCTACGCACGCAACCAGATAAACATTGAACCGAGGGGACCGTCCTAACTACGATAAGACTATCATCGTCTCGTCTTGTCTCTCGCACTCACTGCGGAGCTTCGCACTGACAAGAATCACAACCACACAGTGTTGGTGAACAGTCAAACAAAAGGTTCGGGACATCACACAGACCCTCTGGAATGGTTCCCGTCACAAATTCCAAACCAGAAAGATCCAACTCTTGCAGTGTTGGAATATTTTCGAGCTCGGTTGGGACGGTTCCCATCAGTCGTTCGTTCCGTGCCAGTCTCAAAGTCTCTAGGATTGTCAATTGCCCAAAGTAGGTGGGGATATCTCCCACAATCTCATTGTCGGACATGTCCACAACTTTGAGAGATGTCAACAAGCCAATTTCTGGAGGAATGGGTCCATCCTCCAGGTTGTTGTTTTCCAACAAGAGGCCTTCCTGAAATCCATCCTCGTTACAGTAACTGCCCGTGTCTTCAAACCACGTGCACTCTTCTTCCGAAGGCAAGACACTCCCTTGCGTCCACGACCGTCCAAGCGCAAAATACAGAGTGGCCAATGCAAATCTCTGTACCAACTGCTCAGGTGTTCGTGTGTCAATATTAACGTCATAGTTCACAAAGAGAAGAGCAAATGCTTGGGGGCTCGTGGGATTCAAAATAGCTTCCACACTGTAGTCTGGTAGGTAGTCGATAAGAGTCAACGGTACCGTGGGTGCTTCGGTGAGGATAGTGGGTGGCTGGGTGATAGCTATGGTGGGTGCTCCTGTTTCTGCTACTGGAGCATCAGTGGCGGGTACATCCGTAGCAGCGACTGGAGCAGTCGTCGGCTCGACAGTGGCCTCCAAGAGAGTTTCTGTGGGAGCTCCAGTAGCAACCTCGATCATTGTAGGAGTTCCAGTAGCAACCTCGATCATTGTAGGAGTTCCAGTAGCCACTGCGATCATTGTAGGAGCTCCAGTTTCAACGGCAATCATTGTAGGAGTTCCAGTAGCAGCTGCTGTCGGGGACAGAGTAGTTGCCACTGGTGGGACGGTAGCAGCGGCTGTGGGAGACATTGTGGTTTCCTCGGGAGGGACGGTTGCAGCATCGGTAGGATCCATTGTGGTCGCCACTGGTGGGACAGTGGCAGCAACTGTGGGAGCCATTGTGGTTGCCACAGGGGCACTCACAGGAGGACCAGCCGTGGGAGCTGGGGTAGCAGGAATATCGGTAGCATTTGCATCCGGAATTTCGGTAGCATTTGCATCCGGAATAACGGTAGCATTGGCTACTGTGGGAGCCATTGTCATTGGGGCAGAAGTGGGATCATCACTTTGAGTAGCCCGGACTGCCACAACAATAACAACTGCTACCAAGGTAACCCAAAACAAGCCCAGCCACATGAGCTTGGAACCGAAGAATTGTGGAGGCAAGAGCTCTTCATCTTCTGGCATAGGTGCCATGGGTTGTTTGGGCGCTACTGGTGCCGCCTTCTTCATCATGCCAGCATACTTCTTAGCTGGATCTTCCAGACTATCCACGAAAACATCCTCGTCATAGGACTCCAACGGTGCTGTCACATCATCACTCATCTTGCCGACTGTAGATTATTTACTAAACTGGTGTTTTTAAATGGATTCAATTCGCCTCCAAAAATCAAGGGTATCTGAGCAATGAGCAATCAATGGACAAGGGTAGCTGACGGATAGTCTTTAGCTGCTGTTTTGTCTTCTCCTCCTCGACAGATACAGCAGTGGTTGGTGTTTGTTGTAACCTGTTGGTCTCTTCCTTCTTCCTTGTCCAATAACAACGCCCATGAAATAATGTAAAATGGTGGAACGAATGAGGCAAGCAAAAAAGAGGACGCGCGATCTGTCGCACAAAATACAAGGCAACAGCTTTGGAGGTTCGCCGAAGACTTAGCAGGAACGAAAAGAATTAGTGCCCATTGCTTTAGAAAAAAATGATTGGACGAAAAACGTACAATTTCCTCCATTGTCGCCGGAACTTGGCCAAAAATGGGACTCCGCGGGGCGCAACGATCGAATTCAATGGAACGAGAATCGGATCAATCCACAACGGCTAAAATCCTTTCTAAAAGGAAGAAAAGTTCCAGAAAGCAGGAGAGAGCAGACAAAGCTAGCTAGCTAGTAGCTTCTGCCTGGTAGCTCCTAGGAAGCCAGTTATTACCCATTTCTATTTGAGTGTTGTCCTTGTTACAAAGCTGTAGCCACCATACCGTATTATATATTTCTTAGAGGGGCAGGTTTCGTTCCGATTAAGATATCCCTGCCGGTTGGATACCCTTGTTGGATATTCCTGGTTCCGATTGCAAGGCCGTGTACGATGAGATGGAAACGGAATATATGGGTACTTCTCGGACTCTGGCGTATCGACTACAGTTGGTTAAGAGCAGTCAGTGGATTCTCCATGGACATCCGAAAACGATTACCAGGCATCTGGCGGTTACGAATTCAAGAAAAACAAAAAGAAATTCCAAAAAGACGAAGAATTGTGGATGATTTGATCCAGGCATCCAACAACAAAGAAACGCAGCTGCAAGAAATCCTCCTGAAATTAAACAAAGATGGGTCCTTTCGACAATGCGATGAGGGTTACGAAGAAGGAAAATGGATGTCGGGGAGATGGGGTGTGCGAACCGTTTTGCAGGACGACGCCAACAAGAATGAAACCACAAACTTTTATCTTGCGGTAGACAGGCAATATTTCGGACCGCCTTATGATAGCCTATTCATCGGGGAAATTTTGGGGGAAGGGGACAAGACATCGAGCAATAAAAATGGCAACAACAATGGCAACGAAACGACCATGTCGGTCCAAGGCTCGATTAGAATTGGGAAATTCCAAATGCCCAAGACAGATCCATCCTTCTTTGACAAAGATCCCATTGTGACCAACGGGAACGCTACTGGATCTTTTGTTTTGCAGCAAATGTTGAGTTTTGCCTTACTCCTGTCCAAAGAAGAATGCATGAACGGCGACAGCAACGATGGCAATGACAATTCAGCTGATAGTTTCTGGGATGAATCTCCTGGACGAGACTCAGCAGCGGATGACGATGAAAACAGGCTCTCTGGATGTGCCTTTGAATGAGGATGCTGTGGAGGCAGATCGCACATCGCAAGTTATCGTGCCCAAGTAACTTTTGTAACAATACGCGTCCAAGGTACCAATGCGTGGAGGATCACAGACCACTCCCTGGGTTCATGTGCGCACCACGCTAAACTCTCGACGTGCGACGTTCGTTGGGTTCCTTGGCAGGGATTGGCAAAGTGGCTAAGGTTGAGCGGTTCTCCACCTTTTGCTGGTTCTAGCTAGTCTAAGACGCGAATCAGAATCGAATCCGCCGTGATCTGTACCGGTACGGTAAAGGTAAAGGTATCTGCTCTCTGTCTTGCGTGCTGGATGCCCGCCGGTAACCGAGGTTCCAGAGAATGATTTTTCAATCCATGAAACGTGGATACCTTTATTCAATTGAATTTAAAATTCATGTTGGGGCAGCACAATTACGGGTATCCATACTGAAACTACCTGTAGTATTATATCTTAGCTCAGAATCTTCCATCATTGTGATGTAGTATCTTTTAATACTCTGGCTAGGAAGACAGTGCTATGGGATAGTTCCACGCTGCTTCCCACCTTGCTAAGCATGCCCTAAGTTAAAGAGAGGAGGATCAAATGTAAATGCTCCGCTGGACCGTCCGACGGTTTTCACTCAGGATTTAAAAAAAACTTGAAATTCCCACACTGATGACGGTTTACATGCCCTTAAACATCCCTTAAATCTTCAACATGCCCTTAAACATGCCCTTAAATAAACATGCCCTTAAAACATGCCCTAATGCCTCAAAACATGCCCTTAAGCCTTTATAGAAACACCATAGAACATGCCCTTATCACGAATGAACATGCCCTTAAATAAACATGCCCTTAAAACATGCCCTTAAATCGCAACATGCCCTTAAACATGCCCTTAAACAAACATGCCCTTAACATGCCCTTAAAAAGATAACCAGTTGTGCAGTTTTAAAGCCTGAGTGAAAACCGTCGGACGGTCCTGGACAGCACAAACCGCCTACCGTAATACAAGGCCTACGGGATTGCCATGGATGTTCGGGCGGTCGCCACACCGCCAAAACGCCTCACTTTCAGTCTGTGGCTCTATGAATACAAAGATAAATGTTTCAAGTGCCATCACATTGATGAGAGCTTCCTTCTTGGGCCACATGCTGGATCTCTCGCTGCTGATATTCTCTTTAATTATCTCAGACAGCCAGCGATCATGCTTTTGACATCGGGGTGGAAGAAAGGAAACTGTGAAAGCTGTCATAATTATATAGGAATGCCGTTGGACAAACAATATTGTGCTACCGGTACGAAAGTGAAAGCGCTGTTAACAATGGGATTGCAGTGAAAGAGCATTTGCTTCATTCGTCATCCCTTAGCTGGTGTTTCCACCCGTCCTTTGCTGTCTGGCTGTTTCCTTTGCCAGTTGACCAAGTGGAAGTGTGCGGTGGAACCTGTTGTGGACCGTGGACCGGTGGTCCGCAACGAAATTGTGATTGTCTCTTCCCGCGCGTACGTCAGTCATGGCACAAGGCAAAATGCCGTTGGAATCTTATGTCAATCCCAGAACTAGCTAGCGACGTTGGAACTTAGTCAATCCCAGAACCTCCATCCTGTCTTCCAACCGTCGCCAATCTTGGCAAGATAACTCCCACCAGCATTTGGCCTATGAAGAGGTGCGCTCACTGAAAAAGAGAATGTGTGGATCGAGTTGAGGCCAGCCTTCCCAGCCATTGCTGACGGTGAGAGAGGAAGAAGAGGAAAATGTGCATCGATTCCAATGACAAATTTTCCCTCCCACAAATCCAGAAAAGAGGAATTTTCGAAACGAGTCAAAGCTATAAGCATTCAGTGAAGCGACAATGATGCTCTTTAAGAAGTCTAGGAAACAATCCAAGCAAGTTGGTGCCTTAGAGGCCATCGACAAGAAATCCACGGAATCCAGTCAAAAACAAGGAAGGAGGGGGTCGTTCTGGAAGCAAAAAGACGCCAACAGCTGCCAGTATTTGGACGATTGCGAAGAGATCGATCCCAACGAGTGTTCCCAACAAGGCTCCTCAAAATTGGTTCTTTTCCGTGTGACCGAGGTCAAAGGGAAAACTCAGGGACAGGCCAAGATTTTTGGAAAGGGCTCCAAGCCCCAAAGGGCAGAGCAAGGTTTGGTCATTGACACTTCCCATAGTACAGACCAAGACGACTCCTCGGCTTCAACCGCGAAAACAACAAATCGAAGCTGTTGGTTTAATACACCACAGAACGGGCGTTTTGCCGAGGAGGAAGAGATCCCGCGAACGATCTCCTTGGTCACATCACCCAAGAAAAAGAAGAAAAAGCAGAAGAAGAGCATTCTTAGCTTCATCAGGGTTTCAAGTGAAACAACGGCGTGAATTTTCTTTAGGTGGCTGTCATTGGGCTATCCTTCTTCCCATTCTTGCCCAATCCTCACACTCAACCTCTTACTAGCTACATGAAGAATATATTCATAGATCACTTTTGATTCAAAAACTGCGTGCGAAACGAGTTAGTTGCATTGATTATTGCATATCAGTGTTTATTCCTTTTCTACGCAGTTGCGAGCAGTTCTGCTCCAAATTATTTGGAGGTATGTCACCGGGCATAGTGTACTCATACCTCTTCATGGTTCTCCATGTGATTCTCTTCCCCAAGAATCCCATGGTACTTGGAATGGTGGGCAGCAGACCCGACGTTGAAGAGTCTGCTCTGAAACTCATGATCCCAGATGGATTCACAGTTGCAGTGTTTTTCTCTATCACAGCACAAGCCATAGTGGTGTGGGCCTTCGCCACGACCTGGAAGAATGTTTGGAACATCGCCGTACTCAAAGGTTGCTTTCTCCATGGCATAGGCCCGCTGGATTCGATGAATGGCGGCCCGAGCTTCTGGGTCATTTTTTGGCAAAGTTTCGCCTTCGCAAATTGGAAATGTTTCACTAGGGTCCATCTCCACATTGAAGAGCAATGGATAGTTATCGTATCGTTTGGCTTTCCCATTGCCCCCAAAGCCTGGTTTGGTACAAAAATGGGCCTTATACGGTCCATGCCGAACTGCCGTGATTCCACTGCGGGGCCATGCGCCGTTGCAGAAACCATAAAAGAAGAGAAAGTCGTGTTTGGAAACTCCCTCTTCCCTCAGAAGTATGTCGGACATGTCACGTCCATCAAGAACTGTGTCAGCAGGCAGAGAGACGTTGGCAAGGCGCGAAAACGTCGGGAAGACATCCATGGAGCTGATTGTTTCAGATGACCTGCTAAGAGGTTCAATTTGACCCTTCCAGTAGGCAAATGCTGGCATTCGGATTCCCCCTGGAACGGCACACCGGTGTTTTCAACAAAAAGGAACAATGATAAGCAGCTCTCCTCAAACAGAATCGCTCTTGACTGAGGAATGACAAGTGTGCCTTACCTTCCCAAGTGCTGGCCTTGCCAGTCCAAGGATAGCCGGCATACTTGCCACTGAAGATGCCATAGCTTCCTGCATCGCTTCCCTTTGGGGTCCAAGGTCCATTGTCACTAGTGAAGAGAATCAACGTGTTTTCCTCTAGCCCCGATCGTTTGAGAGCATCGTACACATTGCCAACCATCCAATCCACTTCCGCCAAGGCATCCCCGAAGGCACCTCGTTTGGTAACATTTCGGATCTCACAGGATGAGTACTGTGAGTTGGGCATTTCCTCCCAATTTTCATTTGTCGAAGTTGTTGTGTGGACGTGGGAGAATGGAAAGTAGAGGAGAAACGGATCATTTTTGTTGTCTTCAATAAACTTGGTTGCAAAGTGGTTGTACTTGTGTGCCAATGTGTTGAAATTCAGGGGTTGCTCCACAATTCTGGTCTTGTTGTGTTCTTGATAAACAAGCGGTACATACCATGACGCATAGTCATTGTCTTGAGGAGGGCGTGGGGATTTTTTCTCTGGTGGTTCCACGTCCTCGTCGTTGTATGCTCCAGTTTGCTCCCCTTCTGCACTTGGGCATGCTCCTCTTTGCCCATTTCCCATGTCATCACTGCACAGCCCAAAAACGAATTGAATCCATGAGAACATGAAATGGCCCAATGCGCAACAGACAAAGTTTTTGATGGGGCTTACCTGTATGGAATCCCCAAGTAGTAATCGAACCCCTGACTTCCTGGCAAGTAGGTCAAGCGTTGACCAAGATGCCACTTGCCCACTATGGCGGTGGTATAGTTGGCTTTCTTGAGCTGCTCCGCCACGGTAACTTCTTCCAAAGGAAGCCCCAATTTCGCCACAGGACTAAACACTTCTCTGACACCTGTACGGGTATATTGGCGGCCTGTCATGAGAGCTGCCCTCGAGCAGGAACATACGGAACAACCTGAATACCAGGTAGTCAAGATCTTTCCATTCCAAGCCAAGCGATCAATGTTGGGAGTTGATGTAGTGGGGTGACCATTGAATCCAAGGTCTCCATAGCCAAGATCATCCACAAAGAAGAGGACAAAGTTCGGGCTATCCAAAGGATCTCGTTTATGTTGGTGATGATCGGTGGCGGTGGCATGGGAAACCAATCTGAACAACAAAAAGAAGAAGCAGGTTGCCACCGGAACAACAGATTCTCGGATTGCGATCATTCCGCAGGCGCTCTTGTAGGAAATGTGAGGGATTCGATTAAGTTGCGTTGGTTTGGTCGATGGAGTGTCACACAAACCTCTCTTCAATAAGCAAAGAGATAGTTGAGGTAAGCACTGACGGTGAAGGTTTAGATGCAGGAGCTGAAGCAGTAACAACCATCATCCCTGATGGGCTGAAAAGATCCAAAAGATCTTCTAAAAAGTCTTCGATTCGAACCGAATCGAATCGAATCGAATCGAATCGAATCGATCGAGATACATGTAGTCGTGAAAGCTTTAAAAATTAAGCCAGCTATTATAGTACAGTAGATCTACCGTAATGCATACCAGTACTTCAGGTCGACTCTACCAGCTCCCTCTCTCTCCCAGAGACACCGGTAGATGAGATCTGATGAATACCATACCGAGAGAGTTTATCGCAGGAGACAGGGCCCCACCGCCTTGGGTCCACCGTCACTGCGACCAGCTGCTTAAAGTCACGATGGCCAACCTACGGAGCTTGGCTAGTAGTCTGGCTTGGCCGGGACGAGTTTGTTGCGTCCCAGGTGCAGGCGCCCTGTTGATACAGGTTGCGCCCAAAGCTGTGCCCAACGCCCGCACCCCTTCTTCGTAGGTGGATGTTCTCCCTCCCAGCAGCCCGAGCCATTATTTTCCCATACAATACCCAATACCGAATACCTTCGACCACTCAGTGACGAAGCCACATCTTTGGAAAAACAAGGAAAGAGGAAGCAGACAAATAATTTGCTTTCTTCACGGGGCTGGGTTTTTGAAATCTCATGTGCGTAGCTGAGTTGGTAGCAAACAAAGTTGCCAACCTTGTTGTCCCGCACTGACGTCGTCTCTAGTAATCTTATTCATTTCTGGACCATTGATCTCGTTCATCCCAACTGGATGGCTTCTCTTCAGTTCGCGGCTCTGCATGCAACCTTTCTAATCATGGAGCAGCTAGCTAGAATTCTCCGTAAACTGGTAGGATGGCATCACTTTGGATGGCGGCGCATGTAGACCTAGCTAACTAGATAGCCAGTAGCTAATGGTAGATGGTAGTCTTCCTTTTCTTGTGCTGGTTACCTGACGGGGATGACATCCCACTGACTAAGCGAAACCGTGGTCATTGGCTTGGATGGGTCATCCGTGAGTGAAGCGCGCTGACGTCGATGGATTTGGCCAATGACCCAAAAACAATTGATGGACGGTGATCATAAAAACTAATGCTTGAGAAACCAACCTTGTGCCTACTGTTTTCCCCTTTACTGCGACAACTACCAAGAAACTATCAAGATGAGTGATGAATGGGACGTGAAGATTTGCTGCATTGGAGCTGGATATGTTGGAGGTCCTACCATGGCTGTGATTGCCAAGAAGTGCCCCAAGGTGCGTCCAGAAAAAGAGGTGGTATCCAGCAAAGATTCGATTCGTTCGTGGGATCTTGTGTGGAAATTATCCGAGTGATGGCCAGTGACCATTTAGCTTCATAATGTTTGGAGGGGGATAACGAAGGAAGGGTGATACCATTGGATAGTTTCAGACCGCGACATTCATGCATTTTGACTTGGGGTATCCGGTTTATCGTGCATCGTCATTGGTTGTCCTCCTCCTGGCCGCGTCGTGATGACCCTACCAAGTCTTTTTTTAAGGCTTGTCTGTTTGACTGTTGGCTACGAAATTGAGGATCTGGGAGTTTGGTGTTTGGTGGCCATTCAATTGATCTGATGAAATTTTGATTTTCTCTTTTTTTTAAATGTTCATGAATATTTTTTTTGCAGGTCCGAGTTTGCGTTGTGGATATCTCCCAGAAGCAAATTGATGCTTGGAATAGTGATAAGCTCCCAATCTACGAACCTGGCCTTCCCGAAATTGTATCGGATTGCGTCAACAAGAATCTTTTCTTCAGCACGGATGTTGATGGAGAAATTGACAAGGCCGATATTATCTTCATTAGTGTCAACACCCCCACTAAAACCAAGGGTATTGGAGCTGGTCGCGCGGCAAACATTAAAAATTGTGAGCTTTGCGCTCGTCAAATTGCCAAGGTTGCCAATTCCTCAAAGATTGTTGTGGAGAAGAGCACCGTCCCTGTGCGCACTGCCCAGGCCATCACCCGTGTTTTGAAGAGCAATGACAAGGGCCTTGATTTCCAGGTTTTGTCCAACCCCGAGTTTTTGGCAGAGGGTACGGCTATTAGTGATCTTATGGCTCCTGATCGTGTCTTGATTGGAGGACATCAATCTCCCGAGGGTTTGGCCGCTGCCGAAAAATTGGTCAGCGTCTATGCCAACTGGGTCCCCCGTGAGAGAATTCTCACCACCAACCTTTGGTCGTCCGAACTTTCCAAGTTGGTCGCCAATGCGTTTTTGGCCCAGCGTGTCAGCTCCATCAACTCAATCAGTGCCCTCTGTGAGGCCACTGGAGCCGATGTTTCGGAAATTAGCCGTGCCGTGGGTATGGATGACCGTATCGGAAAACGATTCTTGCAATCTTCGGTTGGGTTTGGAGGATCTTGTTTCCAAAAGGATATCTTGAATCTCGTTTACTTGTGCGAAACCTTTGGATTGGAAGAGTGTGCAGCCTACTGGAACCAGGTCGTGATCATGAATGACTACCAGAAGAAACGCTTCTCGCAAAAGATGGTTGCCCAGATGTTCAATACAGTTACCGGCAAGAAGATTGCCCTGTTGGGATACGCCTTCAAGAAGGACACTGGTGATGTGCGTGAAACTCCCTCAATGTTTGTCTTGAGGGATTTGCTCGAGGAAGGTGCCCGCATGCACGTTTATGACCCCCAGGTTTCCCGTGAAGATATGTGGATTGAGATGAACTACACCTGCGGCGTCAACCATGACAACACCCCAGGACTCGACGAGTCTGTCATCACGGAGACCGATGTCTACGCCGCCTGCGATGGCGCCCATGCACTCGCAGTCTTGACCGAATGGGACGAGTTCAAGACCCTGGACTACGAAAGGATTTTCAAGAGCATGGCCAAGCCTGCCTTTGTCTTTGACGGTCGAAACATCTTGGATTACGCAAAGCTTCGCGACATTGGATTTGAGGTCCATGCCATTGGAAAGCCCGACCCAAACAAGTTCTCTGATCTTTAAAAACAGCGTGTATGTATGAGCAAAATAAAATAAGATGGAGGACCGACGGTACAGGGGGGAACGTATAAAACGAGATAGTTTCCTCAAGGAGATCAATAAATGTGTTAAAATGAATGGGTACCATTAGTGTTCTGAATTTTGTCTGCTGCATTCCTGTTTCTTGGTCGGAGCGCCATAATTCATCCTGCTGCCCCATTGACGTAATGCGTTGTTGGGGTCTCCTCAGAGCGCACTTCTCTGGATGTCAGAGCATTGAAAATCGCTCGACGACTGTACAACCGGAAAGCAGCCAACGTCCCAAGACATGAAGCTGGACGGCATGGAAGTGTGCGATGTTGACCACATACGGTACCGTATTGTGGAGGACCGTATTGTGGAGGGTCGAATTCTGAAGCCGAGCGCTGACCGTCATTGGAATGCTCAGACCCCTGCTGTGTTCGAAAGTTTCCCACGTTTCTTTTCATCTACCTGTAGCTCGCAGGTGTGGCCAACGATGATGTACTAGTCGCTATCGGTAGACAGCCGATGTTTAGTGAGAGTAGCAGATCATGATACTAGCTAGCACTACTATAGCTAGATAGGCCAGTCCTTTCCTGGACAGAGTCAAGTGAGTCAAGTAAACTTGTTGCTAACACAGATAAGGACTCGACAGGGTAGCAAAGCCGGATGCCACTCCACCCTCGTCGACGTTTGCAAACTTGGTTCGAAGCAAAAAGCCCGCATATTCATTGTGCAAGATGTTGCCATCCTTTGACGCAACGACAGCCGCAAAGCATCCCAGTTCGGAAATGGTATCTCCCGATCCCTCCACCTTGCCACCGCGTAACAAAATGGCTCTTTGCATGGGAGGAAAGAGACGTTCCATTAAAATGAATTCACCCAGGACGGGTGCCAGTTCCACATCATCTCCTGTCACTTTGACATTTTCCTTCAACTTGGCAGCCAATTGTTCTCCATAAAAGTTGTATCCTCCTCCTTCTCGCTGGGGTTTGAGGACGTATCCACCCTCTGCTCCCGACAACAAGACATCTTTCACGGCTGCCTTGTCCTCGGTGGTGGCATCTTCTCCCAAACTGTACAGACCGGCAAAAGCCGCTCGCAGTCCTTCCACGGCTGCCGTGTCGTCGGGAAAGAAGCGCTCCAACACACCGGGACGTGCCAATTCCTGCTGCACCTTTTTGGTACCCGCCAAGTGATATCCCAAGGCAGGAGATTTGGTCGCCCGCGATTGTTCCAATTTGGCCCGGGCTTGCCATTCGACTCCGTCATAGCCATCGGGATAGTCGGTGGGGGCATATCCGGCCCGGAAATAGAGAATGGCCACTTCTTGTCCCGTCGCCGTGATGGTCAAGGCACCGGTGGAATCGTTGCGTTCGATTTCGGTGTGAGCGCGAGTGAGGGACATTCGCACGACGGGGATTTGATGATCCGACCAGAGACGATGTTCCAACATGCGTTGATCGACCGTGTTGGTTTCTCCGTCTTGGACCACAAATACAATGACGGCGTTGGAAGGCGAAAATCGAGATACGTATTGTGAAAATGCCACCGCCATGGCCTTGGGAATCTGTTCCAGAGCAGGGTTGATGGGGACGCCATCGTCGTCTCCTCCTTTTGTTCCGACAACCTTTTCCTTGTTCGCTTGTAGCAACTCCTTGACATCTGCCTCAAAGCGTGACGTCACGTGTCGATGAAGCGCCGCCACTTTGGTGGAGAGACTAGCAAAACTGGACGCAATGGTATTGAGTTCGACCTGTTTGATGTGATACTTGTCGTCGGCTCCTTTATGCAGCATGTAATCACTGCGATGAATGCCCATGTAATCGGCCGTCTTGGCAAAATTGTCGTCTTGGCCACAATAAATTTCTTGGTAGAGTTTCAGCAATTTGGCCGTGTAGGGATCGGTATCCGAGACACCTCCACCGAGCGTCTGTTGGAGAAAATCGGCATCTCGCGAGACGCGATCGACGAGACGATTGAAATGAGGCGCCAATGTTTGGGCTTGAGCAAATGCTTGTTTGGGGTATGCATTGGGAAGAAGCGACATGGGAGCGCATTCAAAGTACGTGGATCCATCGTCACGACGCTTTTCGACTTGGACGCCACTGGCGGAAGCAATGGAGTTGGCCTGAGCGGCCAACTCTTCGACCGGGACACCGACGGGAATGCTATCCATGGGTAACTTGGGGGATGCGAGAGAGAGAACAGATGTGGCTTGTTGAGAATGTATTAGTATTATGAGAAGGATAGGAAGCAAAGGATGAGCAGTCGTTCGTCTCTGATGGGTCCGAGGGTGGAACATTATCGAAGATCCACATGAAATGGGCTTGAGCCAGAAGCAGAGGGCGATGTTGCATGATGTTGTTGGATCTGGCTGAGCCTTCTAAAAAGCTACGCTACGATTGCGAGTTCGATCGAATTCTTGAAGATGCCACAATCGGTTTAACCTGAACCCTTATCCCAGCCTGTCACGCTCGGAAGACGAAACCGTCACATTTTGTTTGAACCTCCAAAGGCTCGGCCACTTTCTTTTCAACGATGGCGGAAGAAACCAAGGAAGAGATGCCGCAGGTGGAGACGGTCAGTGGCTCCTCGGATGACGATGAGGAGGAAGAGTCTACCAGCCGAGAAGTGCCCATGGAAGATGCTGGAGAAAAGCCGCCGCAGCGGCTCATGATTACCAAAATGGTAAGGCTTAAGAAGATGATTACCTGAAAATCTGTCACAAAACTAACTCATGCTATTGTTGTCATTGGTCCTCTATTACTATCATCACTAGGAACTGGAGAATTTCAAGAGCTACGCAGGTGTCAAGGAAATAGGACCCTTCCACAAATGCTTCAGCGCCGTAGTAGGACCCAACGGATCGGGCAAATCCAATGTCATTGACGCCATGTTGTTTGTCTTTGGAAAACGCGCCAAAAAACTACGCCTCAACAAAGTCCGGGAATTGATTCACAAGAGCGATGCCGTCAAGGACCCCACATTCGCTCGAGTCTCGGTCTTTTTTCAAGAAATTATCGATACCGGAGATGGCGATGAAGATTATGAAATAGTGCCCGGCACTCATCGGGTCGTTACGCGCATTGCTCACATCAACAATAGCTCCACCTACAAATTGGACGGCAAAAAGTGCCAATTTGGGGACGTCGCAAAGTACTTGGGATCCAAAGGCATTGATCTAGACAACAATCGATTCTTGATTTTACAGGGAGAAGTCGAAATGATATCCATGATGCCGCCCATGGGAAAGAATGAAGGTGACGAAGGATTGTTGGAGTATCTGGAGGACATTATTGGATCGTCGCAGTACGTCGATGAGACCAACTTGGCCGCCGAAAAGGTTGAACAGTTGACGGAACAACGACAAGAAAAACTCAATCGAGTCAAAGCGGCAGAGAAAGAAAAGGAACATTTGGAAGATGCCAAAAAGGAAGCGGAATCATTGCTGCAAAAAGATCGAGAGATTCGACGCAAACGAAACGTAATCTACCAAATATTCCTCATGAAGGAAACCAAAGCCATGGACAAGGCGGTGGCCGAAAAGGAAACCGTGGCGGCTCGCTTGCAAGAGGAAAAGGACAAGCATGATGAAACCGTCCAACGGGTCCAAGAGTTGGAAGGGGCACTCCACAAACAAACCAAAGTCTACAACAAAATCAGGGATGAACTCGAAATCACCAAGGAGGAATTCACAGCATTTGAACGACGCGACATTAAACTACGAGAAGAAATCAAACACGCCAAGGAACAGCTCAAAAAGGCCAAGACCAAGGTCACTACGGCCACGAAGAAACAGGAGGAAGCCACGCGAAAGGGACAAGAGGCAGAGGAGAGCATCCCGGATCTGGAGCAAGAGTGTGCCGAGTTGACAGATCAAAAGACAGTCCAAGACGAGAAACTAGACCAAATCCAAGAGGATGTCAAAGAAATCACCAAAGAACTCCGGACCAAATTGGAAGCCAAAACAAAAGAGTTGGCACCCGTCAAGCAAGAGCTCGGGACATTCAAGGCATCTTTGGACACGGCCCTTCACGAAGTCAAACTCTTGGAAGACTCCACCACTCGAGCAAAGGAGAGACTCGCTTCATCGGAAGAAGAACTGGCAACACTCGATGAAAAGGAACAGTCCAAGAAGGATGACTTGACCAAGAGCGAGGAATCTCTGGAGAAAGCTCGCACTCGTTTGAAGGATGTGGAGAAGGAAATGCAAGGGCTGGCCGACAGGGAGGCCTCCTTGGCGCAGCGAAGTCGTGATTTGATGGTGAGTGTGGTTGATGGCTGCTTGCCTCGGACAAAACTCGCCTTTTTTTGTGATGCACAATTCGCCTCACGCGTTGTGATCTTGTCTGCAGGCACGTTCAGAAGAAGCCAAAGCAGCGCTTCAATTTGGAGACAACGCCAAGTCACCGGCATTGAAGGGCATTCTCAAGGCTGCTAGAAAGGGAGGTGAGCTTGCCAAGGCTGGTGTCCTGGGACGCCTCGGCGACTTGTGCACGATTCCTGCAAAGTATGATGTTGCCGTTTCGACGGCTGTGGGCTTTTTGGACCACATTGTGGTGCAAACGACTGCAGGAGCACAGCGATGCGTGGAATACCTTCGGAAATACAAACTCGGCCGCGCCAATTTCATCGCACTCGACAAAATGAAAAAGGGGGCACATGATGTGCAAGTGCAAACTCCCGAGGATGCGCCCAGGTTGTTTGATCTCATCGCGCCCGGGAACTTTGCTGTGGTACCCGCACTCTTCTTGGCCGTGCAAAACACTTTAGTCGCTCCAGATCTGGATGCCGGTAGTCGCTGGGCTTTTGAATCCGGCAAAAGGTGGCGGGTAGTGACCCTTGATGGGAAGCTCATTGGAGCAGACGGGACCATGGCTGGTGGTGGCAATCGAGTGGCGAGGGGAAGGATGAGACTCGCGGTAAGTATTCGTCATCTTTTTCGTTTGCTTGTGAGCGTCAAACCAGTAGCTTTAGAACCCAACTCACCCAGAGCACGTCATCTGCCTCTTCGTTTACAGAACGGTGGAAAGCAAGTCAACATCAACCCCATGGATCAGGCATCCGCCGAGGAGTGCAAGCGGCTAGAACAAGAAGCGGCACAAGCCCTCGAGCTAGTCCAGCAGTGTCGCAAACGAATTGGGGAGCTCAGGGAAGAATCGCGTACATTGACCCGGTCAATCAAAGCATTGGAAGTGGCGGTGCCCAAGCTACGAATGGAAGTCAACGGTTTTGATACTTCTCGGAAAGAGCTTACAAAGCTAATTCCGGAGCTGCGAACCAAGTGCGAGCTTTGTGACGACGACAAGGCGAAGCTCAAAGAGCTGCAGAAAAAAGTGGACAAGTGCAAATCGGACATGTCTTCCTGCGAGAAGCAGGCTTCCAAGCTGGAGGCGGAGGTTGCGAAATTGCAGAAAAGCATCTTGGACGCAGGTGGTAGCAAACTGAAAAAACAACAATCGGCATGCGACAAGATTCTGAATCAACTGAACGATGCCGAAAAGGCATTGAACGCGGCCAAAGTGGCCATCACGACAAACAAGACTGCAGTCACCAAAGCAAAGAAGCAAATTGAGGCAGCGGAGAAGCAACAAAGCGAATGTACTCAATCGCTGGAGGAGAAACAAGAGGAGTTGGAAGGGCTTCAAGAGAAGGCGGAGAAAGTGTCTGAAGCATATGAAAAAGTGAAAGAAGTGGAGGCAGAGAGACGAGAAGAACTCGAAAAGGCGAAGAAGGAAGTTCAGGAATTGAAGAAATCGCACGCGGAAGCAAAGTGCCTCGAAATCGAACTGACGGGCCAAGTTGAAGCGTTCGATCGACAGGTTACCGATAGTAAATCGAAGAAAAAGCACTGGAAAAAAGAGATTGGGAAGCTGCTGAAGGCGGAGCAGGAAGATGACCAGTTTGACTTTTCGGACGACGAGGAAGAGGAAACGGACGATATGGATGAAGAGGAGGATACCCCCGGCAAAGGAGCAGGAACTGGTGAAAGCGACGAAGAGATGGAACCTGCAGAAGGCGATCGGACCGAGAAAGAGGGCAAAGACAAGGAAGATCCCGAATCAAGGTCTTCACTTCCCGTCTTGTCATTCTCAGCCCTGGAGAAGTACCGAACTGACTCCATCAAAGAGGATATCGAACAGCTGGAGTCAGAGCGCAACTCCATCGCCAAGAATGCCAACATGGGAGCTATCGAAGAGTACAGGAAGAAGGAGGCGGACTACCTCGCCAGGTACGTGTATGACGGAAGTGAGATCACTGTTTCAATGAGGGACGCCTTCCTCACTTATCTCAAATCCAATCCAGAGTTGGTGAGCTTAACGAAATTACAGAATCGAGGAATGCCAGTCGGAAGGAATACGATGAATTGCGTCGCAAGCGCCTTGAGATGTTCATGAATGGCTTTGGGAAAATCACGTTGAAACTGAAGGAGATGTACCAGATGATTACTCTGGGTGGCGACGCTGAGTTGGAACTCGTGGATTCTCTTGATCCTTTCTCGGAAGGCATTGTTTTCTCGGTTCGTCCGCCCAAGAAGTCGTGGAAGAATATCTGCAACCTCTCGGGTGGCGAGAAAACGCTTTCGTCACTGGCACTTGTGTTTGCCTTGCATCACTACAAACCGACCCCACTATATGTGATGGATGAAATTGATGCGGCTTTAGACTTCAAGAACGTTTCGATCATTGGGAACTACATCAAGGAGCGCACAAAGAACGCCCAGTTCATCATTATCTCTTTACGCAACAATATGTTTGAATTGGCGGATCGTCTTGTCGGGATTTACAAGACGAACAATTGCACGAAATCTGTTTCCATCGATCCCAAGGTGAGTGAAGGAAATTGCTGGAACTTGATCGATCTCCCTCACACTGCCGCTCACATACCGCTTTCTCCTGCATCTCCAGGCGTTTGCCGTTGCCTGCGAGCAGAATGGCGTTCGCACTCCCAAGAGAGTTCTTTCAGAAAAGTCCAAGAACGCATCCGTCCAGCGTTCGACTGCGGGAACGAAGCGACAGCTTTCATTTGCTGGGGACGAAGAAAACGAAGCAGAGAAGGCCTGAGTGGTTCCCGTACAGCAGTGGCGAACACCTAATTGGACATGGCAGGGACGGTCTAACTACACTTAGTAGCCCGTATTTATTTGTACGGTGTTGGATCCTTTTCAACCTGACGGGCTCGTGTTGTAGCAACCACGTCTCTGTGGCTGTAGATAGCTAGCTCTTCTGCATTCTTCTGGACCACCTGTACCCCCATCATGGCAGTTCCGTCTTGTCAAAGCTTCATGGTCTGTGAAGCTGTCTGTGATTACAGCTACCGGTACACTTGAACGCCTTTAGCTCGGGTGACGAGTCTACTATCTGCGATACCGGTTTTAGTAGCTAGCTAGAACTCAATCTACGTGTTCTCTCTATCGCTCCCCGAGTCGAGTCAAAGCTGCCTTGACGTCTTCAATCCAACCTAGACAAATCTGTGTCTTGGGATGTTCCAACCCTAATGCAGGTTCCAAAATTGCAAGGCACTCCTCAAATTTCAGCAATGCACCTTCATGGTCTCCCGTCTTATTAAGCACAGTGCCCAGATTGTGGTAGGTGGTTGCTACTGAGGGATGCTTGGTACCCAATACAGACTCTTCAATCACCAGGCACTCCTTGAATATCGACAAAGCACCTTCATAGTCACCCATCTTGCACATCACAAGACCAACATTGCTGCAGGTACTTGCCACTGATGGATGATCCTTGCCCAATACTGACAATCTAATGTCAAGGGCTTCAATGTACTTTGACACAGCACCTTTATAGTCACCCTGCTTCCTCAACACAAGACCAATGTTGTTGAGTGACATCGCCACATCTGGATGATCTTTGCCCAATGCTGACAATCTTATGCCAAGTGCTTGCCTATGCCTTGACAAAGCTTCCTCATAGTCACCCATCTGGTAGAGAACCATTCCAGTATTGTTGTAGGACAGTGCCAATGCAGGATGATTCTTGCCCAAGGTGGACTCTTGTATGGTAAGAGCTTCCATGTACTTTGCCATTGCACCTTCGTAGTCGCCCATTTTCTGTAGCAAAGGCCCAATGTTGTTATATAGAGTGAAATGCGATTTACGACCTACCTTTCTGCGGATTATTCTCTTAAGAGGTGGATCTCGAATATTGTACTTCTAAGTAGCTGAATCGAAAGGGCACATGTTGTTGAGTATCCCATTAAATTCCCAAGATCAGAGTGTACTTATTGGTGGAGTTATGGTTGATTGAAAATATCCTCACTTTTGTGACGAATTCTTTTTCTCTGCAGTTTAAGACTTTACAGTACTTAACTGTGTAGGATCCTACATAGGAGAGTCCTGTAAGATCCTACGGAACACTTAGGAAACACCTCTATTGCTCTGGTACTGAAGCTACGTAGGATCCTACGTAAGAACCTCTGTTAATTACATGGTCTTAATCTTCACCCGGTCTTAAAATGACTTTTACTCTATGTCCGCCATTGAGGGATGACCCTTGCCCAGGGCTGTTTCTAAAATGCCAAGAGCTTCCTTGTGCTTTGACAATGCACCTCTATAGTTGCCCTGCCTTCGCAACACAAGGCCAATCTTGCTGTATGCGGCTGCTACATGAGGATGATACTTCCCCAACACTGACACTTCAATTGAAAGAGCCTCCTTGTGCTTTGATAAAGCTCCATCATAGTCACCCATCTTGTAGAGCGCAGTTCCAATATTGTGGTAGCTGGTAGCAGTATCAGGATGTGTCTCACCCAAAACCGACAAAATAATTGCAAGAGCCTCATTGTGCCTCGATATAGCACCATTGTAGTCACCCTTCTTCTGCAGAACGTGGCCCATGTTGTTGAGGGACGAGGCCAATGAGGGGTGACCAATGCCCAGCACTGACTCTTGAATGGCAAGAGCTTCTTCGTGTCTTGACAAGGCACTATCAAAGTCCCCCATGTCCCGCAACACACAACCAATGTTGTTCTACAGCACGGCCACATCAGGGTGTTTGTTGCCCAAAACTGACAATCTAATTTCAAGCGCTTCCTCGAGCTTTGACAAAGCACCTGAGTAGTCACCTTGCCTCTGCAAAACTAGCCCAACATTGCTGAGGGAAGATGCCACTGATGGATGATTCTTGCTCAGCACTGACTCTCGAATAGAAAGAGACTCGTTGAATTTTGACAGGGCACCCTCATAATCGCCCATGCTCCGTAATACAACTCCAATGTTGTTGTGGGACTTAGCTACATCAGGATGATCCTTGCCCAATACTGATAGTCTAATTGCAAGAGCTTCCTCGTGCTTTGAAAGGGCTCCTTGATAATCTCCATTCGTCTGCAGAACATGCCCAATATTGTTGAGGCAGGATGCCAATGAGGGATGATTCTTGCCGAATGCTGACTCTGGAATAGAGAGAGCTTGCTTGAATCTCGACAAGGCACCTTCATATTTACCCATGTTCCGCAACACATCACCTATATTGTTGTATGACACCGCCACATCAAGATGATCCTTGCTCAATACTGACAATCTAATCGCAAGGGCTTCCTCGTGCATTGACAAGGCACCTCCATAGTCACCTAACTTCTCCTGAACAACCCCTATGTTGTCGTATGTGGTAGCCAAATCAGGGTGATCCTTGCCCAATATTAATTCCTGAATGACAAGAGCTGCTTTGAACTTTGACAAGGCACCTCTGTAGTCACCCTTGGCCTGTAGCAGTACAGTCCCAATATTGTTGTAAGTGGTTGCTGTACTCTCGTGATTCTCTCCAAATTCAACCTTGCATATTGCAAGAGCTGCAATGTGGAGTTTCAGTGCAGCATCATGCTCTCCATTCTTTTCAAAAACAACCCCAATTCGATTACAAAAGTCTGCATATTCTGTATCATTGGTCTCTTCTCGAGTTTCCACCAACTGGGTAAGGACATCTTTCATCCAATGACGCAACAAGTCGTTCACTTGATTATTTAGCGCAGGGAATCCAACATCGGTCTCCACTTTGTTTAGAATAGCCAGCCTGTCAGCTTCCACAGATGCATTTGCATCCTCAACTTTGGTGTTTCCCAGAGTCTCATAGAGTGCATTGATGCCACTGTCGTTTCCAATGACATCCTGTTCCAGAGACAGCTTTTCTGTAGGTGGCATAACAATGTCTACTAAGCACCCATCAGAAGTGTGCGCGGTAAAGATTTCGAAGATGCACCAGACTCGACTGATAGCCACAGGTGCTTTCCACCGAGCCATCATTGCCAATAAATGCATAATCTTTTTTACTCGTTTTCCAAAGATATCAAAAAAGTCCACCTGAGAAGCAGCTAGTATGCCAGACTTTTGGCAGGAAGCACATTCTGCTACCCTGTGTTGATTAACACAAAGGCAACATACCCAGATATATGTCCTCTTGGGGTCAAGGTTCTTCTGGAGGCAAAAGTCAGACAGGGTATCAACAATATCACCAATGGCGTAGCTGACGGCCCAACCACAAATTAATGGTAAAGATAAAAAAAGAAATGAGAAATAACGAAAAGAAGAAGAAGAAGAAGTCAATTGGTGCGAACCTCCTGCAAGGTCACGAAACGTGACTAAAAACTTAGTTTCACCGTTTTCTTAGTTTCACCGTTTCTTAGTTTCACGGAAATTCCAGATTTCCGTGAAACTAACTCATTATGTTGAAACTAACTCAAAAACGGTGAAACTAACTCAGAAACGGTGAAACTAACTCAAAAACGGTGAAACTAACTCAAAAGCGTGAAACTAAGTACAATCCTGTCATAGTAAATCAATGTAAACACGACTGAAACGGTGAAACTAACTCAAAATGGTGAAACTACCATAAAAGCGTGAAACTACCCCAAAAGGGTGAAACTAACCCAAAAAGCGTGAAACTAACCCAAAAGCGTGAAACTAACAAAAGCGTGAAACTAACAAAAGGGTGAAACTAACACCTTTTAAGTCCCGTTTCGGGACCTTGCAGGAATAGGAGAGCATGTGAGTTGCATCCCCAACATTATCCTCTCCTCGAAGACAATGGACATAGGCAGACCCTATTTGCCCATCTATTGGACAAACAGTATTGGCACCCTTTCTGCGGATGACTCCTGGTGGACCTTTTAGATTCTCAATGGCATAGATCTTGGAGGATCTGGACAGAGGTTTGCCTGTGATTGTATCTGTCCAAGCACAAACTTCCTTCTCCAAGAATACACACTCCAAGTAATGTACGCTGACACCCAGAGTGTCCAACTCGACATCGCTGATGTTGGCTTCGCCGAGCTGCAGTTGTTGGACTGCTGCCGCCGCAGCAGCCGTTGCCGAATCAGCGGGAGCCAGTCGCGCGGCTGCTGAAACCATTCTTTGCTGCTCGTGGACAAGATGCGAGTTGCTGGGTGTTTTCTTGTCTTTCTACACGTCTTGGGCGAAACAAGAAAAGCTCCGTTCGTGGTGCGATATTCTAAACCTGTGAGGTAAGGGCTTGGGTCTGCCAGCTGAATCAAAGCCGTGGTGCTGGCTTGATTCGGAAGCTAATTCCCATCCATCGAAGATTCCATTCGATTATCGATGCCGCCAACTCCTTTCAACAAATTCAGGGCACAGAACGAGATGATTCGATTCGATTCCTTTGCCCTTATACATGTTTGTTGTTTGAACGTACTTCTGCTGTGCGGACTCGAGTACGGAACATCACAGACGCGAGTGCGAATCAGCGAAGAAGCTCAGTCTCCATCGACCCAAAGGTCGAGTCAACTTCAATCAAACCACAAATATTGGTACCACACGATTGTAGTAGTTTTGAAAGATCAACCAATAGAGACGATATCTAGCTCGCACCGTTGGGTGCGCAATGAATTGAGTCCGTGGTGAATGGAGTCCTTTGGACCAGTCTGGAATGAGTTGGATACCCTTGTTGAATGCTGGCAAGATCCAATCCTCTCCAAAATTTATATCAAACTCGTTTAGAGTGGTTTCCAAGCTGATCATTGTTGCTTTGGTTTCCTTGTGTGTATGAAAAACCAGTATGAGGGAGTACAGTACGACGAAGAGCTGACTTGTGAGCAATTTGTGAGCAGAACAACCAAGAGTTACTGGGATGTCATTTCCCAATTCCGATTGGTCATTTGGAGTCTTAGTATATAAACTTTTGTACTATTAGAAGAACACCTGGGTGTACAGGATGACTCCAGGTAAACTCGCGTAGCGTCTGTGCCAACATGCAATCATGCAATCATACAAAATGGAACTAGACTATTAGTACCCCAGGTCAGGTTCTTGTAGAATCTGATGTTGGTGCTGGCTTGACTCCCGCTAGCTAGATGTGAAGGATAAGTACCGTATCTTGGCCATCTAGCCACCTACCGGTACGGCCAACTAGTTTTGAACACACTTGTCTTGCGGCTATGCTTTAGCTCTCAGCTGTCATGGAAGCATTCAAGGCATCCAATGGCTTCGGGACAAGAAGGGCTCACAAAAACAAAAAGCAAACAAACAAAAGCAAGCAAAATAAAAGCAAACAAGCAAGCAACAGCTTATTCTCCAAACAAATCAAAATGTGCGACCTTCTCCTTGCCACCAACTGGTCCAAGTTTGCCAGTCTACCCGACTTGGAGGCATCGGCTTCGTCCCTCTCTACACTGGACAGCAGCTCAACCAGCAGTACAAGTCAATACTCAAGCTACAACAGCAGCCTTAGCTCAAACTATTCCATCAAGCAAAGTAGGAATCCCTACGAAAACTCGGGTTTCTTCAAGAAAAAGCAAGCCAAGGCAGTCAAGAAGATCCAACCGGTCGTCCGAGGTTTTCTCGTACGCCTCAACATCCAAAAGGCCCCAATCCTTGCAGAACTGGCGGATGTTCAGAGACGAAAGCAAGAGGAGCTGGAACGAATTGAGATGCAAAAACTGGCCGAGATGGAAGCATTCCGCCAAGAAATGGAGCGGGAGTATGCCGAACTCGAGGTCAAAGCCGAGGAAGCAAAGAGGTTGACCACTGAGTTGAAGGAAGAAAAGAACAAGTACGAGCAAGAACAAGCTACACTCAAGAAAGAATGCAAAATCAAAAAGAAAGCCAACAAGGAACTCAAGAAAGATAGCAAGGTTGACACTGCTCAAGTTCGTGACTTGGCTCTGATTCAGCATCGTGTTGCCAACTTGGAACGCCAAAAGGCATCTCGAGAGGAGACAGTGAACAAGTACAAGCAGGTCGTTGCGAGCCACGAAGAACGGCTTGACGAAGTCGAAGAGGCTTGCAAGGTTGAAAGAGACCACACTCTGCGGCTAAAGGTGTGCATTTCCGGTATCTTTGACCTGGTGGAACCCAAAAGCGACAGCTTGACCAAAAAGTTGTTGAAGATCACAGGCAACAACCAAGTGTTGATGTGAACAGGCTGGTCTGATTTTTTAAACTTTTAGAGTGGGCCCGCATGCAAATAGATTTGTAAAGAACATTGCATAAGAATGTTATAGAATATTAGACAACAGCAACGTTTCAACCACGCTCTCAAACATTCCTGTCGTAGCAACAGAGGTTCAGCTTCTTTCACATCTGACACCTGGGTAGCTATGAAATTGATTTAACCGGCGCCAGTAACACTTTCTATCTTGCACACAAGTCGACTTTACTTTAGTGCAGCAGTGCTCACACCAACCAAGTTAATTGCCAGTCACGATGCATGCCCAGTGCTTTCGCTGCTGCCCATCGTCTGCTACTTACTATAGGCTATGGATTCTCTCTTTGTACATGAACGTGATTGGCGTGCTCTTTGGGTGGTCGAACATCCAAGATGCGCAAGAGGGTGACATCTCGTCTATGTCCCTTTTTTCGTTTGTAGTTTTTCCTTCGACGTTTTTTGAAGACAATCACTTTGGCATCTTGCGTGATTTCTTCCACCATGACATCGACTTCGGCTCCCGTCACATAGGGCATTCCCACCAAAGTCAAGTGGGAGGATCCCACCAACATGACATCCTTCAAGGTGTGGACGGATCCAACCTTGTAGAGATCAACGGGTTGGAGCACATTGACCACTAGCAAGTCATCCGTTGTCACCTTGTGCTGGGATCCTGCCAATTCCACCACGGCAAACATGCCTCCTGCGGGAGCCCCGGCACGGAATGTGACCAATTGCGACTTTTTCCATTTTAAGGATCCATCATTGTTGTAGGGCCAATCCTCGTCCGCTTCGTTGTCGTCTGGCTCGTATTCAAAATCCTCCTCGTCGTCTTCGTCTCCCTCCATGGCTAGTTGATCTTCCTCGTCTTCTTCCAATTCCTCTTGCAAAAAGGGATCAAAGTCGGCATCGTCTTTTCCAATCCCTTCCAATTGAGCCAACTGAAGCTGTTTGCCGTGCAACCCTTGCATGGATTCTTCGTAGGCAGCGGCATGGTCTACTACCGCATATCTCGAGGACGCATTGCTGGAGAGAGGTCGGATGAGAGAATTGGCAACAGTAGCACGCCTCAAGATGGCGGAGCCGTGGGCTCGGGTGCCTAGCTGTCTGGCTATCGATGATATCATCATCTTGCTGGGGTGTCCAAGCAAGGATTGTGGTTGGGTCCAGAGGCGAGGTCCTGACTTGATCCTCCAGCGGAGGGTTGTGGCTCATTCCCGATTGATTAGTGTTTGCAACGTGACTCGATTAAACTTCCACCACACGGTCAACCCCAGTTCCGTGCCACTGAAAAATTGCCAAACAAGTGAGCTGGCCCTCAAAAACAGAGCATGATACCGGCTTCTCAGACCGTGGCATTTCTTCCGCTTTCAAGCAACGAGGTCCAGCCTCCAAAATATGCAAATTCCACTCAATCCCAAGGATAGGACCGGGTGTGGCTGCAAAAAGATGAGCGACCACCCAACAAGATATCAGCAGTGCCATCTGCTTCGGAGAATAGCTTCGGAGCTTAGCTTTGGGTAATGGTAAGAACAAATGCCAGCTTAACCCATTCAGCGTGTCTGACACTCACAGGCAATGCTTGTTTGCTTTGTTCATACCAGTATCCCTCAACCGAGGTCCTGTAATCGTTGTCGGAGGCATGAATGCCAGATTATGCTTGTTTGCTTTGTTTATACCGGTACCAGCATCCCTTAATCGAGTTCATGTAATCATTGTAGGAGGCTCTCACAGGCAATGCTTGTTTGCTTTGTTTATACCAGTATCCCTCAATCGAGTTCATGCAATCATTGTAGGAGGCTCTCACAAGCAATGCTTGTGTGCTTTGTTTATACCAGTATCCCTCAATCGAGCCCCTCTGATCGTTGTCGGAGGCATAGCTAGATGCCAGTTTCTGCTCCGTTTGTTGATAAGCTGGTGATAGCAGCCATAATTCCCAGTTACTAACGATCTACACCACAGCCTGAAACGGTATTGCCGTCACCTAGCTAGCATGAGTGTATTTCGCAGCTTGGCACACCATTCACAATGGTATTCAAAGCCTGTAGCATAGCTGGTGCCTTGCAATCCTATCTCGCAGCATGTTTGTGGTCTGTCTTCGCTCATCGCTCCACGCAGAGCCTTGTGGACCAGATCATACGAAGCTGGTCGTAGTCTGTGAGCTCTGAAAAAAAGCTTATAGTCATTCGGACTGAGGCAATTAAGTCTTGTTGTGAAACCTTCCTAGTGAAAGGGGAATTAAATTTTTTCGCAGCTCTCGAGTCTCTCGAGGCGTCTCAAGTCTCAAGGAAGGCCTGGCGGTTCGAAGGGTCTTTGATTCGTAAAAAGGAACTAGTTAGACGAATCGAAAAAGAGCTCTGAAAGAACTTGCTTTGGTTCACTTCCCACTTCCCTCTGTCGCCACTGTCGAGATCTTCCTTGTCAGTCAGGAAGATGCGGAAAACACCTAATTACCGGTACTGAGTGGTCTAGCTAGCTAAAAGAAAAAGTATTCTCGAGTAGTCTACTTGAGTACTAATAACTATTTTTTCTATTTTTATTTTTTATACCAAAGATAACCTCAACTACCTCCCTTTAGAAAGCATTAGTTCGTCAACAAAGAGAGCCAGAACCGGAGAACCACTTCCCCCCTGCTGAAGGAATACTCAGGAAGGATGGATTTTCGTGGCTATTTTCGTGCTCATCAAGCTCACAATTTATTTGACCCCTGAGGCTCCCAGGAGACACCAAACCAAAAAGATCTCAAATCTTAAGTCACCAACAACAACTTTCCAACTATGCCAATCAAAAACCCAATCAAGTCTTTGTTCGACCGCGCCATGCGGTTCAGGAAAACGAAGAAGTCCATGGATGGATCCTGTGAATCCACGGTAGCGAATGATTCCAGTACTAAGAGTCTCATCTCACAGATTGAGGACTGTCACAAGAAAGATTGCATTCTCTGCTCTAGAGAAACCACTTCAGATGGCGTTGACTTGGCAAGGCACCTCATCAAAAGCTTGCATGACAATGACTGGGAAAGTACACGTGCTTTGGTTGCTGATGACCTCGTCTGCTACTTTCATAATCTGTCCCATGAGGTGGATTATGAGCTGAATTTGAATGACTTGCATGAAGAGGTTGCCAATATTCACCGTGCCCTCCCAGACTTTTCACTTCACTACAAGTCCATAAGGAAGCATCCTACCAACTCAGGCGTCGTCATAGTGAATCAAGTTGTGGCATCGGGCACCCACACAGCTGCACCTTATGCCTTCGGACCATTTGAGCCCATCAACCCTACTGGGAAGAAGGTCGTGAATGACCCTGAAGAGCTCCACATCCTTGTCCAAGATGGCAAGATCTGTCGGTTGGATTTTTACCCCATGGGAGAGTACACCGGGCCAGCAGGGTTGTACACGCAGCTGGGTGGCTTCCCACTCTTGTGATGAATCTGAACATGCTCCTCCCACGTATTCCATTTTCCGCCTTCTCTAAAACTATTTTATAAATTTGTAAGATCTTCCATTTCTTCTTTCTTTACCTGTACAACTTCGAAATGATGCATGGCACCAACGAGTGCATCTCTGCTTGAGTTGCGGGATTATCAATACATACAAGTGAGTGCCGACCTTTCGTCGACGTCGCAGCCAGTGAGCCGCATACATTTTACAGCTCATTGGGACTCAGCATGCAACCGCTCAGCGATACGGCGGGACCACGCAGCAGTGGAGAGGTCCACAACGTCTAGTTCGCGTGCAGCCAGTCGCAGCCACTGTTGCCCAAGTGGTACATACGATTTCATTCAGAACTACTACCAAATCATGGTTTATCAGTTCAAATTGTCTTACTAGCGAAGTCTAGCCATCGCGACCTTGTCTACCTAATCAAATGCACCGCTCATCTCCTCCTCTTCGATTGGTGCTATCACCGGGATTCCCTTTGAGATTTGAAGTCTGTCCATCACAACATTCACGTCGATTGTGTCACCATCGGCAAATTCACCTTCCAAGATTCCTTTAGCGACAACTGTCTCAAGTTCCCTTTGAATTGTTCGCTTCAGAGGACGGGCTCCATAAACGGGATCAAAGCCCACATCGGCAAGGTACTCAAGCGCGCCTTGACTGATGTTCAGTGTCATTTGCTTCTCAGCCAATCGATCTTGCAGTCGGCGCGATTCAAGCTTGACAATGCCACTGAGATCCTGCTTCGAAAGACTGTTGAAGATTACATTCTCATCAATTCGGTTCAAGAACTCGGGTTTAAACTTATCCTTCATTGCTGCCGTCACGCGACGTCTCATTTCAGCCTGAGATTCCATGTCGGAGGCACCGCCCAAGTCCAAGATTTCTTGGCTTCCAACGTTGCTAGTGAAAATGCAGATTGTGTTTCGGAAGTTCACAGTGGTTCCCTTGCTGTCAGTTAGCCGTCCGTCGTCCAAGAGCTGGAGCATGATGTTGAAGACATCCGGGTGGGCCTGGGAAGCAAATTACGAAGAGATACAACTGAGTTCCGAACCCACAGCAGAGCTGACACAAACACTTTAAGTTTAAAAAAACTCTAGCACACTCACCTTCTCCATTTCGTCAAATAGTAGAACTGCGTAGGGCTGTGGCATGGTTAGAAATCAATCAATCAGTGCGCAACAAAAATGTTGTTCAAGCTTTGGTTTACACATACCTTCCTTCGAACCGCGTCGGTCAGCTGACCTCCTTCGTCGTAGCCAACATAACCAGGCGGTGCCCCCAAAAGCCTAGCAACTGAATGTTTTTCCATGTATTCACTCATGTCGATACGGATCAAACTGTCTTCCGAGTCAAACATGAACTCACTGAGAGCTTTGCAAAGTTCCGTCTCTTCAAGACAAGAAGCCAAGTTTTTGATGCAGTCAGCGTGAGCGGCAGTAACAATATGATGAGCAACGCAAAACGCGGACAACTGCACTTACTTCCGACACCAGTAGGTCCAAGGAAAATGAACGAAGCAATGGGTTTGTTGGGGTCATTGAGACCAGCACGGGAACGCTGCACTGCTTGGGTGATCAAATCGACAGCTGTATCTTGGCCGACAACTCGGTCTTTGATCATATCTCCCATGTGCAAGATTCGGTCTCGTTCAGTTTCAAGGAGCTTGGTTGGAGGGATTCCAGTCCAAACTGCAACAACGCTGGCAATGTCATCAGCTACCACCTCGTCCCTCAACATCTTCTCGTGGTCACCAACCACCTCTCCGTTTCCTGCCGTTTCATCCAGCTTCTCCAGTTCCGCTTGTAGTTGTGGAAGGGTCGAGTACTTCAACTCAGCAGCTTTGTTAAGGTCGAATTCACGCTCGCATTTTTCGATCTCAAGTTCCACTTCTGCAATCTTTTCCTTCACCTGGTTGTACAAGTTCACACCACCTTTCTCCGCCATCCACCTGCTGTTGAGTTCCTGGGATTCCCTCTTGAGGTGATCGAGCTCTGAGTCTAACTTTCCAAGTCGTCGTTGCTCCGCAGGAGATGATCCCATCCCCTCGTAGTCCCTCGACAGAGAAAGCCTTTCCATCTCTAGCTGGATAATACGTCTGTCAAGTTCATCCAAATGCTCTGGCTTGCTGGTAAGCTCATTCTTCAGTTTCGCACAGGCCTCGTCGACCAGATCGATCGCCTGCAGTTGTCAGCGTACAGTAGAATACAGGTGGAGTGTTGAGCGAAAGGCGACGGAATGCCAACTATTGTACGCAACACACATCAGATAAAAATCTTACCTTATCGGGAAGGAATCGATCCGGGATGTAGCGGTGAGAGAGTTTGGCGGCGGCAAGGAGAGCCTCATCCTTGATCCTGACACCATGGTGGAGCTCGTATTTTGGCTTCAAGCCACGCAAGATACTGACCGTGTCCTCTGGACTGGGTTGCTCAATCATCACCTGCTGAAAACGTCGCTCCAAGGCCTTATCCTTTTCAATGTACTTGCGATATTCATTGATTGTTGTTGCTCCAATGCATCTCAATCCACCTCGAGCTAGGGCAGGTTTGAGCAAGTTACTGGCATCCATGGAGCCTTGTGCTGCCTGTGTATTGTATCAAAAGAAACCGAACAATCGATTGTCAGTCAGTTCCTTCACCACACCAACTATCTTTTTGTTTGTACTGTACGGTATATACTTACTCCTGCCCCTACAACGGTGTGCATTTCATCAATAAAGAGAATAATCTCTCCATCACTCCCGGTGACTTCTTCCAAAACCGCCTTGAGCCGTTCCTCGAATTCTCCACGCATGGTGGCACCAGCGACCAAAGCTCCCAAGTCGAGCCCAATAAGGCGACAGTCTTGCAAACTTTCTGGTACATCGCCATCCAAAATTCGTTGTGCAATTCCTTCCGCAATGGCTGTTTTTCTGTTGTATGATCATTTCAATAAATAAATGACACGAGTGAGTGAGCACACAACTCTTTTGTGAAAATAAATGAACAACAGGTGTGTACAAGATCGATACTATACTCACCCAACTCCTGGATCTCCAATCAAGACGGGATTGTTTTTGGTTCGTCGACTGAGGATCTGCAGGGCACGTCGAATTTCATCATCTCTTCCAATGACAGGATCTAGTTTACCCTCCTTGGCCCGTTCGGTAAAGTCAATTCCATATTTGAGCAAGGCATCGTACATGTTTTCCGCTCCTCTGGAAATGGTGGGTCCCGATTTTTCTCTCATTTTCTTGACGACCTCCAACACATCTTGGTATTTGACTCCCTGTTTGCTAATGGCATCTCGAGTGAATTGTGTGTCTTCTTTGCACAACGCCAGGAGCAGTCCTTCTGTGGAGACAAAGGAGTCCTGATATTATGAATAATAGATAATAGAAAGGGAGAATGAATAAAGACGGAGTTTGGTTAGTTGCGAAAAACAATTTCACACAATGCTTTTAATGACAGAGTACATACCCCCAAAACACTCTGTACAGTTCTGGCACTCTCCAATACTTTGGGCAGATCACGTCCCATAATGTTTTGTGTTCCACCACTGCTCATTTTGGGTTGTCGACTGAGATGTTCTTCCAGCGTGGATCGAAGTGTCTTGATATCAATTCCCGATTGTTCGAGGACCTTGACGGCAACACGGTTGGCGCTTTCGGCATCATCTCCACCTCCATGTTTGCCAGGGTTCAACAAAAAGTCCAACAAGAGGGGTGCTTCCACGTAGCTCATTTTGTAGTACTCGGCCACTTTGGTCACCGCCGCCACAGCCGACCAGGCAGCTTCCGTGTATTGCATTTGATCAAAATCGTTCGCCGCCATTTGCAAGGCAGTGCTACCACGAGGTCGACGAGATAAGACCGTAGATAATGGTGGCGGGGCATGATGATGATGACGAACGGCAGAAGTGGAGGAAACTGCTCGAGGAACGAGCGGTTGGTTCACAAAGGCATCCGTACTAGTAGTACCCAACGAGGCCGCCGCCACACACAGCAAGGTCATGGCAGCCTTGCGATCGCGAGATAAGAGCAACATTCTTGAGCTTTTGGTAGGCGATGTTATATATCCAATTCTGGAAAAATGAAAATAGAAAATGATGTTCTTTTCTGACTGTGATTGATACCCAGAGGAAGAACGGGATTGATGCTTTGCGAACGATTGATTCAGTTCCTCCAAACAACCTTGCGGGTCAAACTATAAAGGCAGCTGGTTGCAGGTCGTCCTTTTTATGAGATAGATAGAAAATTGCCAACAAATAGGATTCCTTTTTGGTTTGTCGAAGCCAGAAGATATCTATCTGTGTGGAGTGTGGAGTGGCGATTGATTGGAGTTGCCACAACTGACTCCGTGATTTGATGTTTTCTGTGATTGACGCCTCGCGGAAAAGAAGTGAAACGAAGTTTTGAATCAATCCCATTTGGGATTGGATGCACCTTGGTACAAAATCTACGTGCCTTCCACGATATTGACGCGTGGAATTTTGAACTGACGTCATTCCCAAAACAAAGATTCTCATCGAGGTCTGAAAAATAAATAAGTCAGCGGGAGCTGCGATACCTCGGCAGAAAGACAGATAGAAGAAGGAGGATTATGTTTGGATTGTGCAATACACGGCTCTTAGCCTTATTCGCGACTCGATCCTAGATAGGGTTTGAGTTCGACTCATGACTGTGTAGTCCTCTGGGAATAGTCATTTGAGAAGGGTTCTCAATGACCGCGCTAGTCATACTAGTTGATGATGAAACATCGCTCTAGATATTTAGCCAGCGTGGAGTACTTCCACGCTACTAGATCCAGGCTAGACAACTTCCACGCTTCCGTTTTAGGATCGTGGAGAGACGTAAGATTACTACCACAACCTACTCTATCACAACTTTATAGTCTCCCGCGGGAAGCCAGATCTACGATCCTTTGATGATGATCTCTCTCTTGATTAGTTTTCATAGCTTTCTAATCTCTCTCATAACTTTCATTCTCTCAAACTCAAAACACTCGAAAGATCTTTACACTAGCTTTTAGCGTAGTGCATTTTGTTAACAAACACAATAGCTTTCAGCTACCCTCAACCTATTCCTTCACCATGAAGATGGCTCAAGGAAGCATGCTTCCCAACTTTGAGAAAAAGTTGCGTGACAAACCATTCTTCCTTCGTCGACAATGACGAAGAACACGAGATCGACGATACTCGTGCCACCACTTGCAAACTTCGCAACCATGTTGCAAGCGCAAATCAGAAGACTCTGACAATGAGGACAACTCCTCTACATTTCAATCACTTGGATGGAGAAATCTCTATCTGAGGATTAGGCCAGATGATGACTCAACGGACCCTGTTCCGATTTCTCATACCAAAGTGATGAAGATATCTCCACTAATAGTAAACAAGAATTTTTTGCACTGATGAACTCTACGGCAAATTAGAGATTGCCTAGAAGCTGCTCAAACTAGACTCTGATGATCTATTTTAGCATCGTTAACCTCGTCCGTGGCAACACCTCGTAAACGTCGCAAGACAAGAGACCTCAAACCCCATCGTTTATGTTAGATATAACAAGCGAGAAAAAGGGAAACCAAAACCCGTTACACTCCGTTGCTTCTGGTATACAGAGCATCGGAACCTTGATTGCTCAACCTCATGCTAAGAATTACGCATGAAGATCTTGGGGCGTCCAAACGATGTTGACTACCCCGCAGGAGAATTAAACACCAGCACGAAGTGCAAAGGTGCATTCATGATCCTGAATTCCACGAAGATAGAATTATCGAGTGACTTACACGTCCAAGAGCTGGGGGCGTATGACATGATCATAGGTCGAGATTCTCTCTGACTTAGGTTTAATGTTCGATTTCACTACCATGTCAGTGAATGGGACGGCAATCTATTCCTATGAAGATAGCGACACCAATGAAGAAGAAAAATTTTCATTCCTGATCCTGCCGCTGTCGATGACAGTGCAGATCTCTCAAGATTCTTGATGCGATACGAACAGAGCTGACTTAAGGCAGGTTTGCCAAAGTCAAGATCAGTTAAACACGGAAAGAAGGAACAGCTTCACTCTTACTGACGAATACTGACCTGATTCGATGGTACTTGGGAAAGTGCAGATGGACGACTACGAAGTAGAACTTCTCCCTGATGCTAAACCCTATCATGCAAGGCTTACCCTATCACGGTTCCATACCAACACTCTTTTAAGATGGAGGTTGAACGTCTCTGCGAGGCAGGAGTACTCAAGAAGGTAAACACGTTCGAGTGGGCGGCACCAACTTCATCATTCCCAAGAAAGACGATCTGACGATTCATCTCGATTCCGGAACGAACAAAAGGATAAGCGGAACCTTATCCTATCCCAAAAAAACAGACATGCTCTTGAAATCTAGACGGATCAAGTACGTACTAGTCTGACCTGAACATGGATACTATCACATCGAGCTGTCACCTCACTCGAACAACTCTGTACAATCGTACTCCCTGGGGAAAGACGAGTACCAGGGTTTCAATCCTATTATATCCCGACATCTACAGAGAAGCGTGGGAACAGCTAATCACGAATCATCTCTCGTGCGTACAATATCCG